CTTTGGTAATCAACATTACCAGTAAATTAGTCATTAAAGCGTGTTCTGAGTAGCTTATACATAAGGCCAGCAATAATGATGGAATTCAAACTGCTTCAGGTCTATGGATTTAAGTTTCCATATTCACACTGTAACTTACAGTACAGTATATCTTTGACTTGGTGTTGGATGCCCTCTAGCTGTGAGACCATAATATTTTGATTGTAAACATAATTAATAATGATTTAAACAGTTTTTTTTTCCAGAATGTAAAGCAATATTTAGTAAAATGATATCAACTATTAAATTGTTGTAGTAAAGCTCTACATTCCAAAAGCATTCTTTAACACATCAAATGTGTTAAATCCAGGTGGATGCTGCACATCGGTGGTGGTGGAGGGGAGTCCCCATTACCTGTAAAGCGCTTTGAGTGGAGTGTCCAGAAAAGCGCTATATAAGTGTGAGCAATTATTAATTATAATTATGAAATGGACTGTATTTTTTTCAGGAAAGAATGTTTTCCCCTTAACATACAATTTCCGAACAAAACTTTTGAACTGACTAAAAGGATACCCAAGTACTCTAGAAGATATTGCTGGCACTGTTACTTGTTTGTGTCTTATCATGAAGGCTCAAACGTGTAAAGTCAACATTGTGTAATGCGTTTTATAAATATGACACTTTATGGGCTCCACCCATTTTCTCAGCTTTGCTAAATGTGCAATTGAATTTCCAGCCAAATATTTTAACTGCTTCCTCTTTATTTGTCTGAAACTGCCCAAATCTTAAAATTAGACCACTGAATTTTTGGAACAGTCAAAAATTTGGCAACATGTTTATACTACTGTAGATTACTACTACTGTAGATTTTTATTTTGAACCTATAGTAACAGGACGAATGCAGCCATAACATTTTCAACGTAAAGCAATTATTATCTTCTCTGCATGCATGTGATTTGGTGTCCCTCGAAACTAAAACAGAAATCAGCAACAGTGATGAATGAAGCTTATTGTATGCTGTACTTTCTTCATCATAACCAAGGATATCAAAACAGTTCATTAGAAAGGCTGGGCTGAGGCGAAAACTATATCTTTTACAGTATGTTTTGACTAAAAAATGTACATTTCCATTTCAGCATCAGTGTGTATTATATATAATACAACATTTTAACATTGGTGCCATATTACAAAATACACAACAATGGTAATATTTGGGCAAAGCTAACATTTATAATCTACTCTTCTTCTCCTTGATTGTCATCTAATTCTTTTCAGGCTCCTTCTTGTCGTTGGCTGGAAACAACGTTGAATCTAAAAACAAATGCAATGAAACCAACACATTTTTAAATTTGAAATTAAATAATGCATTTTTCAACAGACATCCCTGCTGCAAAGAATTAGCTATCCAGAACTGCCAATTTCATACGTGACCCCATTTTATTAAGACATAATATTAAAATTCTATATTGATGATTCTTTGCACATGGAAAACCAGATTAGTGCCTAATTCACACTAGTGAGAAATCTGTACCCAGCATCTTTAACCATAAGGCACAATAAAATAAAGCCCTGATTACAAATTAACATGTTTCTCGCACACGACATGCAAATGTAATAAATACCAGTTTTATAACCCAGGATATTGTGCTTATAGTTCCAAGTAATAACACATATGTGCCCAGAATCGTAGTGCGATTTTAATTACAGCAGAAGAAATGGGAAGTTTAATGCGGTCAAGTGTAAAAAGCTTTTTGATTTGATCAGATCTGAGCAAACGGCCAAGTCAAAGCTGGAATTAATTGTTGTTTTACTCAGCTTTTAGTCAGGACTTACACAGAAAATTCTGCTTTATGAAAAGTGGTCTGAAACTGTAATAATGTATTGCAAAGGCAAGATATGTTTTGGGATTTCCAAGATGCACCTTAAATTCCTATCCCACTGGTCAGGCAAAAACCAGCACCCCCCAAAAATGCTGTCACAGTATTGGTATATTCTTAATAAGAGCTTCCAAAGTAATAGAAAATAAAATGTACCTAAACAAATACACAAGAAGAGTTTGTAACTGTCAATTAATTTTAGATCTACAGTATTAAGCAAAACTAAGTATAATGGGTACCAAAAATATCACTAATCTAGCACTCTAAAAACTATTCTTGAAGATGAAACATTTGTTAAAGAAATGTACAATAGTAAATTTATTCAACGACTTGGGCTGAGAATTCACGAGCAGTTGTTACAACAGTTAAAAATGAAACATTGCTCAACTGACTGAATCCCAGCTGGGCTGCTGGCTGCTGAGACGAGGAAGAGACTGTATAAAATTAACGATATGTTCCCGAGTACCATACCCTGGCAAAATCTTTTAGGTCCACCATGTTCAGAGATGAAATGTGTAGGTGATAGGGTCAGATGACAAATCAGCATATTGACTGTTTTGGATTGTGGAAGTTAGTGACTCAAAACTTAGTCATGTGAAAGTTCTTAAGGTGTTGGTGAGTTTTAGGGTCACATACAAAGACTGCAAATACACCATACCTTCTTATAATAATGGACATTTTAGATCTAACGTAATTCCATGTTCAATGTTCATTGTGGTAGACCTGTGAACTGTGTGCTGTACAGCACATCTACTCTCATTTAGACTAGACCAATGTCCATATCTCCATACTGTATATCACTCCTTGTAAGGGTAGTTACTCAACCCCAGTGACCTGGGTTCAGTCCATTCTGGTCTTGCAAAACCTAAAGTTCCTTTTAAATTCAATTGGTGATTTTTGTTTTCACTTGTCCACCTAATCTTTTGTACAGCTGGGCTACTGGCACATACAGTAATAGCTGCTGTGTGCCATCCAGGTGGGTGCTGCAATTCAGTGGTGTATTCTGTGGGTCGCCTTCTAAATGCAAGTGGTTTAAGTTCTTTGGCATGAAAAGCAGCATATGGATGTAACGTATTACGTACAATAGGATCTCGACTTTCTCAAGCGTTTGATACAGAGAGTCCACCCCTATACAATTGCATAATGTTTATGGTCCAGTATGTATGGTTAAACGACACAAGTAACCCTCCCTGATACTGCCTGATAATTAAAGTACCAATGCTTTGGCTTTAAGTTAAATAACCAGTGAAAGAAACAACAGTGATCACAAACTTGCAGTAATCAGTTAAAATAAACAACACGAATCCCTGCTCTGCCTCCAGCACATGCCTGCACTTTCTCCCCCAGCCTCCATGACTAGCAGGCCCCACTGTAATGAAACAGGCAATAGAACTGTCAGAGATCCTGTAAAATCTTCTCCATCCTGTCATTCCCCACGGTACTGACTGAACTGGGAGTGTTTGTTGGAATATAAAAACAAGACCACGCTGAGCTGCTGAGTAGCAAGTACATAGGCAAGGCAACAGGCAGAGTCTCACTCACTTGCTAGATCTGTTGCCCCACTGATTTGACAGTTGCAGTTAATAACCTTCAGCTTGGTTTCATCCTGCTCTGCTTTTCTTCCATACAAGACTCCAATGTTAAATTGGCCTACGGTCGAGCCCCTGGTGTATTTAGTATTCTTTCTGTTTCACTATAATAATTACAGTGATTATTATACCACAATTTATCCTTTAAAGAAATGAAAATGGCTTGATACAAAAAGGTTAATTCATCTTAACACAGTGTTTTGTACAACATCCTGTAAACACCACTTTTCATGGTCAAGTCAGAACTTGAAAGACGCCAGAGGTGGTGCTTAAACAAGAGTTTTCCAACACTTTGGAATAAACAGTTTGACTACAAGATGTGACCAAAAATAACGAGATTGAATTAATTACAGGAAATGGGCCTGGCAGGGAGACAGAATCATTAAATATTTGTGCAACAATGTTCATTTGGAACTGTATCTGAGCAACACAACATGTTTTTCTCCCATCATTTCACAGTTGCTTTTTATTTGAGTTAAAAATGATTTCAGAGACCATTCAAAGAATCCATGTTGTTGTGGTGAGTGATGTAATTTAGCTTGCCCGTCTGGGCGGCTAAGAAGATCTGGCAGTTGTCCACTGCATATGAGGAAGTAATTAGAGACAATTCTCACACATAGTACACTGGTTTGGTCTAATTTTCCTGTGTGTAATGAACAAGTGTAATTCAAAGAAACCATGTTTAAAACCAACTGTTCAGAGGAAATCTTCTGTGTCAATTTGTATTCCTACTTTCTGAGAACCCAAACATGATACTTTCGCTGGCAATATTGTCAGATTACATGAAAAATCTATAACATTCATGTGCATATATAAAAGGTACATTTATACGTCATAAGTTAGGTATTTGGAAATGATATACTCTTTCTTTCCCAATTCCCTGTCCCTGTTATACAGGTTTTGTATAGTGTGCAGTTTAATTAAAAGGACAATATATCTCTAAAATGGATATAGAGATAACTTAATAAACACTCCACACAAAAGGGGACAACTCTAGGAAAAAGAAATAGTTGCAAAGTATAAAATCACGATTGTAATCAAAGTCATCATTCTCTTGCTTATGCACAGCAGAAGTGATTCATTGTACTTGTGGCTCTGTACTTCTAATTTCAGTAAGGTTTCTGTTGACTGGGGTGGCTTAATTGTTTTGCGCAGAGGTTGAGTCCAGATAACACAACAGCCCAAATCTACTGTAGGTGATTTAATGCATTTGGTGCATCTTCTCAGAGCAGCCTCAGATAAGGAAAAGAAGGAACATGCTTATAGAATTTTACTGAGTATCGGATAATGTGATTTAATTTATTAACACCATCATTGTGCTTTTATGTTAAAATATTGCATAGACTATTCATGTTCCTAAGGTCGATTTATCGATGATTAAGATATATGAATACATGTAACACCTGGAGAGTGGGCACAAGACTTGCCAAATGCTGATCTGCTTCCCTAGTCAAAGAATAATAACTCTAATAGTAATTATATGCATATTAATTTAGTTGTATTGCAAGCTTAATAAATATTTCTGTTAATCCTAACTTCTGTTTTTTTTTTTCAGACAAAAAACAACGAACAAAAGACCAAAAGAAGAAAACAAACAATAAACAGAGGCTTCGTGTTCGTGCCCAAAAGCAGCACAGTGATCATCTGGCAACAGGCAGGGCCAGCCAGTGAATAACAAACTGTACCTTTTACACAAACCAGTGCACAAAAGCTGCTAGCTACTCCTACACATTAACGCACTACGGCCCTGCTGCTTCGTCAGTATTGGCGGTGATTCCCCTCGTGAAAACAAAAGGTCTACAAAGCTCGTTTTATTTTTTTTTTCTTATTTTTGGAAAACACTGAAAGTTTCAGAGATCAACACTGAAGTTGATACAGGAAGTTGAGCGAGGATGTGTGATGAAGGCACTTCCTGTGCTCACGAGAAAAAAAAAAAAGCCAAAAAAGAAAGGTGATGTTAAAATTCTGTTGTCAAAGGCTATAAATGATGTCAAGAAGAAAGACTTGTATGTATTTATGTAAAATCTTTTTTTCTTTTATTTTTTTGAAGGAAAAGGACTGTTTTGTGTATGGCATCTAAGTTTCTTATAGTGTACATTTTAAAAGTAATGTATACAACTATCATGCATAGTTGCGAAGTATTTTATTCTCAGCACAACAATGTTTACGTAAAACCGCTTTATGCTATAATTGTATATTGTGGAAAGAGAAATTTTGTTGTTCAACTAGCATGGCAATCCTCATATGTACATAAGTGCTGAGAGTTTATGTAATAATAAAAATTATTACTGTATTTTCAGTATTGACTTCTTCATTGTTTAACGTGTTATGGTTTAAGACGTTATAGTAATCATCTAAAACAAATCTATAGCCAACACATAATTAGTACTTTTATATAGTATATTTGATTTATTTATTGATTGATTTTATACTTATGTGTTTGAAAATGTTGTCTTCTACTCTTTTTTTCTGTGCCATTATATACTTTAAAACCATTATAACAATACAGATAACTTTTAAAGTTAAAATTGTTCATGTTAAATATATTGTGGAAAACTATGCTGTTCTATTCTGTATCCATTTATTTAACTACCTACACTGAATTATTCTTCTTTTATTCTTTCTTTAGAGAAAATGCTCATATGCTGCAAACACAGAATGGTTTTATGCTAGTAACTGTTTTAAAGTGTTTTCGGATCATGTTTAATTAAAATACATTGAATATTACTCAAGCATAACTTTCAATTCATGAATCTATTATTAAGATAAGCATGAATTAAGTGTTTTGTGAAAATAAAGGAGCCAGAATAGCTTCTCAAATAGATCATATGTGAGCTAAACACACTGAAGTGTTAAAAGTGCATAGCTCAGACTCTGTGTCATTTCTTGTGCTCAGTCCAGGATATTACACACAACACTATTATTCTTGTCATTAACAAAACCTGCCACACTGCTTAGTTAGAGGTTTTTAATGTGGAGGGAGCTTGTACTGGTTTATTCAGGCTTTTTGCACGAAACACTCTGTATTCTGAATATCACATTATTTTAATATCGCTTGTACAAAAGTCCCCCACTTTGCTTAAAGTTTAATGTAGGTCTTGACCAACTTACATTCAGCACTTCAAGTGCAGTAATTTCTTTCAAAAAACGAAAACAATTAAAAGGTAACTGCAACAGTTAAAAAGAGCAGATTTTATTCTACCAGTGGGCCAAAGGAAATAAGTGACATGAACAACAGTAACAACCATGTTCATCAATTCTGACTCCTATCTTCACAATAGAGTTGGACAATCCCAAAGTTGGAAAAGCAGTGTTTAGTTTGGTAATCAGCTGACTTCGGCACTTTCCACAGATTCTAATCAATATATTTTGATGCATTTCAAGAATGGAAATATCAAACTAAAAATAAATCACTAACACAATTTTCAACCAAAGAAAGCCATTTACTTTTTTCCTATATAAAGTGAGGTCACAGGAACTCGGGGTAATACACATACAACACATGGGGTACTACCACTTGTTTGGAAAACTTGCTATACTGTAGCTGTCAGAAAAAAAATGGCCTTAGGTTTTGCTAGTTTTATAATATTTTCAGAGTAGAACCATGGAACTCTGCAGCCCCTGTGAGGTGTGAGAAGGAACTGCACTTTTTCATATTGCTTTTCATAAGAACACCAGCAACAACAGATGAACCAAACCAATATTCTGTCTGTCACAGGAACAGTGGGACAATTTTAAGATCATATGGCTGCAATCTCGCGACAGAAGCCACTTGAACCCAAATGGTTAATTTCTGCAGCGTATATGGCATGTAGTATTTCACACAAATAGCTTAAAGGAACAACAGGTTTTGTGACTTACTTGAACCACCAAATAAATTAGCTCCTCACAAACTATATTAATATGGTGTGTTGTTCTGAGCAAAAGATGAAAGAACACAGCTCCACGTATTCTGGCTCAGTACGGAGTCTAGCCACACAAGGTACTCTAGGAAACACATTTACCATGTCCATGGGTATGCTTTGTAAAATGGATCAGTCACACCTCCTTGCTTGCTAACAGCAATTGAGAAAAAAAAGACCACTGAGGCTGCAAGGCATACATTTAAAAAAAAATCATCCAAAAAGTATAGTGAACATGAAAGTTCACAGACTTTGAGGCAGAAGCTGTCAAAATGATCAGTAGCCTGAGCTGTATACTCAATAATGTGCTTTAGTTAAAACCTGTTGCGAAAGAAAACACAAACCTAAAGGTTTGAGTCCTTTAGGTTCTATACTCAGGAGGGACCGCCTTTTGGAGGACACAGTTGTCATGATACAGTAATTTGCTAATACAGCAAGTGTTATACAGTATATAATGTCAAGACAGGCATCCAGGATCCAGTGAATGTGGCCAAAATTCATTTCTGCAGCTGTGGAAACCCCAAAACATGTTTAAAATGTAGGCATAGCCCCTCTGAACAGAATATATACAAGGGACTAGGAACACTGTTCGTGATATATTCCTTCTAAAACCGTTTGATATTTGAAAAAGTAAAAGTATTCCAAGTGGTGCAACAAATAAACTAGGAAAATGAAACACATTGTGACTATTACGTAAATAATAAACTGTGTGAGTATCCCTAATATAGCATATAAGAAAATTTAATTTTTATTTGTGCTACATTGGGGCTGGTGGCTCAGTTCCTTTACTGATTAATTCTTCTGCTTTCTGCACCAATGTAAACAGATGCTTACTGTCAGCCTGAGCACAATGGGGCAAACACTCCATAAAATAAACACCTAGGGTGCAGTCTTGTGCTCACTCCATACTGTGTATTGGGCTCTATCCACTCTTCAATCACACGGCGACAGACTTGGGAACCATGTTGGGATTGCAGATTTGTCAGCAAACTCAATTTAACCTGTCTCAACAACTTGATTGATCTGTGCTTTATTTGCAGATTGTTCTATTCTGTCTCTAGACTTACAACCTGGATGCACAGTACAATGGCCCAGAGAACATTAATCAGATATTCCGGACATTATAGATAAAAGAGAAATAGGGAGGTTGATTTGAGTAAGTAAGCAGGTGAAGTAGCATACAAAGCTGATACTGGACTGTGGATTTTGTAGATGGGAGAGCCCAGGAACTATAAAGAGGAACAGGGAATACAAGCAGTCCCTATGGATAATTGGTTAGGGGTAGAAACACGGATGAGACACCTATGAACGTTAACTTTTCAAGATTTAAAATGCCATTATTTAAAATGTGAACTATGAATATATGACAGAACAGATAAGGACAGAGTCAGGCTCCAAAAAGAATTAAAAATAAAATAAGAGTAGCCATGAGTATCATTTGCAAATGCTACAGGAGAATCTGAAAAGATTAATTTCGAAAGTGAATCTAAAACTATCTTCTTTACAGCCTTGTTATGGGCTGTTTTGTCTTGCTGCTTTGATCAGGTGTATCACGGCTTAAGATTGTGTAGTGCAGATGAAGGCAACACTGGGGAGCAGACGTGTTAATGCTAGGAGCTGGGATGCTATGAAGCAGACAGACTGATGACAAGACATGTTGAACCAGAATACATGGTGGGTGGCTATAAAGGGCTAATGCTTGTTGACTAATCTTGATTACCATCCTTTTCAATATGTTATTAACATCCTGAGCTTGTCCCAAGTCTTCATTTTGATTACCCTTGTAACATCTCAAAAGGTCACTAATGATTTTTCTGGGACATCTGAAATAGTTTAGCTTGTTGGGACATTCCAGGTTGAAACATATCCAGCATTTCATTATGCTCATCATTGTACAATTACCATAGGTTATCATTAAGTCTGGGACAGAGCCCTTCTTGTTACGAATTTAGGGTTGTTCAGCATTTCCCTTAAATACTGCACAGTAACTACAGTTTCTAAAGAAAAAATTATTTTGTGGGGCAGTACATGTACTGTACAGTATACTGTTTACTGTTTCTTTCTTTATCTTTGAATAACCCTTTACCTGTTCATACACATACAAAATTTAGAAGAGGGAAGCTTTTAAAGCATAATCAAAGCTTTCCAAAATGTTCTGAGTTCATAAAAAACACACTACAAGATAATCACTAATTTGTTTATATGTTATTTTAATAAACGAAAAATGTCCTGCATATTCCAAAATTAGAATGTGACATTAGGTGATTCCTGTGTACAACTTGCAAGGAAATGACAAAATGTGTCATTTTTTTTTTGCAAGACACAACATAATACCGATTAAATCCAGCTTGCACCGATATGGAAATTTTAAATCTATTTACTGCTATTGTCAAGCGCAGCTGCAGGACTGCTAATGAACATTTTAACATCTGTGTTTGCCAGCTACCAGATTTTGTTTATTCTAAGATAAGTTAATTTTATGACTGGGTGTTTTAGATCACAGTACACTTGCAAAAAACTACTAATTTAGAAAATATTTAAGGAGACCACCAACAACTCCCCTGTTGCTCTTCATGAACCACTGAACTGTAGGGAAACACACTGGAAGTAATTGCTCCCTCATAGGGAGCAAGCCTGATGGATATTTTAAACTGTTGTTGCACCGTCTGTTCCACTTTAATGCTGGTTGAAAGTCAGATGTTTATCCACACATCAGAAGGTGCTGATCTCCTTCCCCTGCTGTGCTCAGAAAATTGTTTTTCACTGTAAAAACCACTTCTATAACTTTCCTTAATTTAGACTTACTCTGTACAGTTTCTATAATCCGAATGACTTTTTAAAAAAATTTCAGTACCCAAATTCCATATAATAGTTTATCGACTTATAGTGTATGTGGTGAAGGAGACAAAAGTCTCTTCCGTTTCTCATAATTACACCTTTTTTGTGGGTTTAGGGTTCGTTTTTGTTTAGTTTTAGAGGGTGTAGGTTTAGTCACTTTATACTTGACACAATATACAGTAAAACACTCAAAATATATAGCCTAATGTTAGTATTTTATTTATTTTGTGAATCATTAACATTGAAACAGTTTATATCATGTTTCATTCATGTTTCTTTTTTGAATTATGTTTTCCTATCACCATTTGTATTTTTAATCTCAGTATTGCGCACACTGGAGTCCCATTTGAGTGCTAAACTAGGCAATACAGCATTTACCTTGTTTTGAAATATGAAAAAGAAGTAAGGAACTATTTTTTAAAAGGAATTTACCATTTTATTTTTACATTAAAAAAGACATCATAGGAGTGGTCATTTTTGACTACTTTTCCACACTTCTATAAAAAGGAAAGTACCGTAATCTGCTGTTCTCTTTCAGCATGTCCATCACAATAGAGGACAAGCATATGGTTAGTAATAAGGTCAAGCAATTTCTTGGTTCATAATACAGAGGCTTAAATTGCCTCTTGTGCAGGATAATACATATTAGAAGCATTTGCCGTTTCTAATAGCTATATAATTGGGCATCACTCGCCTCCTGAGAAAAGCAAAATCTGGAATCATTAGCAATCACATTAAAATATTACTTCTTGGCACACACAGTACAGTGTGCGTGGATACGCTTGCCCCAAAATGCAGGAGTAGCAGCCTAATTCGAGACGTTAAGTTTTCCATATGTTGCAGATCGAGACCCAACACATGTAAGGTTTTTTTTAGCGGAGGTATGAAAGCTTTTCTTTTATCCCTTAAGTTGGACAAATTCCCCTCTTAATTGCTAATAGTATCCGGAGTACATTTCCTTTAAAACGGATTGGCTTCATTAGC